ATAACTCTGAATCTCGTTTATTTTAATAGCATTTGAAATAACTTTTTTGCCCATTTGAGCAAATCTATTTTGACGATTTAAGGTACAATTAAAAGTGGATATACTTTAATATTATAGCATAACCTCAAAGTATTCGATTGTTATTTAATAATTGTTATATATTAACAAAAAATATATACTCTGATTAAAAGACGAATCACAATTAAATAATATATTCTCTTTAATAAAATAATACAATAATACAACAATTTGAAGAGAAAAAAAAAACAAAAACAACAATACTGTAGCAATAGTATGCTGTAGGCATTATGCATTGTTATATATGTATATATATATATATATATACATATATATATAGGGATATGTTAAAAATATATTTAATACTATTACATAAAATAAATGTTTGTTGGAATACCGGTAATTGTAAACATAACGTAATACGATTGATATAAATTATCTATCCAAACTAAAATACAAGACTACGAACCATCAATTAAAATATCATTAGAAACCAATGTTTTTGAAATGTTAAAATTACCAGATCTGAATTACAAATTTTGTAACTTTTTAACAAAAAAATTCTGTAAATTTTGTAAGAAATTTATTTGATAATTAAATTAAATGAAGCCAAACACTAAAATACTATTAAAAATTTATTTGAGTGCCTTACTGTACAAATAACTGCTATTTTCTCTTTCAAAATTAACAGTTTTGAAGAGCAAATAAAATAAAAATGCCTTTTTAATGAAATAATAATGACGATTATAATAATAATGAAAATAACAATAATGATAATGAAGACTTTCGCCTATATTACTATACGGATACTTTCAATTATGAACAGCGCATTTAATTTAATGAGCCAGCTGAACGATATAACCTCGAAGGTAGTCCTCCTAGGACTTGCAAAAGGATTAACAAGAGGATTGCACCATCTAACACGATATTTCATATCGAAGTTAACAAGGTTAAGTGTACAAGATGCTCGTATCGATAGTTTCGGAAACCCATGAAGAAGAGTAACAGCGGCAAGTTTAGCAATGACGAGAACAATAGCGTAGAAAGAAATCACGCAGTCGAGCATGTAGCCGATGGCGGACCTGGAGAACAAAACGTGGCGATGCATTTACTCTCTCTTTCTCGCGTGCGTGGCCCGTTGGTGCTCGCGTGAAGTTAGCTACGAAAGGATAAGGTTTCGAGCGTCTACTGCTGGCTGTCTATCAGCCTGTGTATCTGTACGTATGCGCCTCTCTCTCTCTCTCTCTCTCTCTCTCTCTCTCTCTTTCGCACTCCACCTTCCGCGGTGTTGGGAGCACGAGTATTTTCACTCGTTAGGTATAGCTGTCGGGAGCGTTGCAGCAGTGCCTTGGCGAGTCTGTCCGGGTTGACCGGTGTGAGTGCTGTATTGCTCCGTTTCACGTTTCGCCGGTTCTCTCTCCCTCTCTCCTTCAACTACCTTTCCCTCTCGCTTTTTCTTACACCTTTTCCTTATTCTTGGCTTTTTAATTGCATCGACCTTCTTCATCTCCGAGCTTTGAGTCAAATTGGATTCCAGCGAGGGCAACATGTCACGCAGAAAATTACACCCGAAAAGGGGATGAGGAAAAAAGGTTTTCTCTCAAGATGAAATATTAAATTTCATATATCAAGGTACGTACTCGACTGTTATAAAATTGCTGAATTATTATGTGTTGGTACATATTTAAGTGAAATTATGGATATGTTATTTTATCTGAGAGACATAATACGGCGAAAAGTATTTTACTTTCATTTATAAAGCAATTACTACACAACTTGCAAGATAAATTATATCTTCAAATTTTTAGAAACATTTTGTTATAATTTATATTACAAGAATTCATAAATGGCCTTTCTTCTGGTAATATCCATTCCCTTTTTCTATTTATGTAAATATTGTATCGATCTAAGCCAAACAATTACAATTTATCGTCAATTACTAACACTATTGTATAAGTCCCTATTTTACAATAGCTAACCCGAGTGAATATATTTAACTTTTTTTGTTTCTATTGTCTACTAATGTTTATCGTCGTCAAACACTTTCCAATATTTCATATATATTCTAACATCACTATTTTTCACTTGATAAACATAATTTTCTTTATATTTAGAAACAAAATTCAACTAAAAAATATACAAATTTATTTAATAATGTAAACTTTCTATTTATATATTTCAATTTTTTAAAATTATTTATGAAAAGGATTAGAAAATTATTCTCACCTGTTCAGTTTTTGTTACTTCCACATACATATAATAAATAAAATACCACTTTGCTGTATTTTAGACACATTCAAGAAAAAAAAATGCCAATTATTTAATCATTAAAAACTGATTAAATTCTCATTACTAGATAGGTCTTAGAGAAATCTACAAGTTTTTTTTTTTTTTAATTCTGAAAGTAAAATATGAAAAAACCATTTTAAATTGTTTTAAAATTAAATGTAAAATCTTCCTTTTCATTTAATAAAGAAATTTATAAATTATACTACTAATATACAGAAAATATTCAATTCAATATATAATATTTATGAAATCTAAGCATCGAACATATTTATTTATAATATGCTTTCCAAGCATGTCAAGATTTATGAATTCAAATAGAATTCAAATATTTATAAACATTGCTAACCAATTTATAAACATAACCAATCATTGTTAAATAAAAATAATTACACAAAAACATTAACAATAAATATTAATAATTTTTGCAATTAAGAAATATCGATTTCTTACTTTGCAGGTATTAACGGAACAAAAAAAAAAAAAAAAAAAGATACTTTAAGTGTGTTGAAAAATTACACGTCAAGTCTAATCTTATAATATTATAAGTTTCAACTTTTTATAAATTATAAATATTCAAACTATTGCATTTATACCTAGAATAACTATACTGAAAATGTCTTAACCTATAAATTTTTATGTAAATTTATACGAGAAATATGCGGATCGTTATTAGTTAAGATATATGTTTTAGAAAAGCCATATTATTCAGTTATAATTAATACGATGAATTTATGCTCATACTTAATGGATTTTAGCTACATCCACGGATTTACCAATCATCTTCAAATTGATTCACGTTTATACGGAAATGTAGAAATAAAAATTAATTCCGAGCTTAAGTCTGGCAATGAACTCTGAACACCTAAGGTCGCGATGGATTCTTTCGTAAAATTTTCTTTAAATAAAAATGTCACGCAGTTGTCGTCTCATATTCTGTTCCTTTCTCTTTCTTTACATAAAATTTCAAATTATAATGCAGATTTTAACCATTTTATTATTATTGAATATTGCTAGCTGCCACAAACGTAAATCCTCGTAAAAAAAAAAAAATCACTATTTGTATACAGGCATAAGATAATTATTTAATTAAGGAAGTAATATTCATTATTTACCTCAGTTACAATTATTTTCTACGTAATAAAATAAATATAAAACCATACGAGAATATTAAGACATTCCAACTTAAAATCCGTGTTTCCATCACTGATCATAATTTTTAATGGTAATACTATTATTTAATAAAATCTACAGTTATTATAAGATTATGATAAGATAAAAGGGTACTGATAGTGCAATATTATTTGCCCATAAATGCTTCTACGAGATATAATTTATAATTAATAAAATAGATATAAACTTTCTACTATGCGTTACTCTAAATATAAATTATTATTTTAAGAAACCCCGATTAAAGTCTATTGTTTTTTTTTTTTTTTAATATTATATTTTATATCGGGTCAATAAATAATCAATAAAAAGTTAAATAATAAAATATTAAACAATAATTAAATATTTACAACTCATGATTGTTAAAGATGCTATTATTATAATACAAAGTTGTTATACATTAAGAAATAAGTATTGCAATTTTCAATTTGAAACATCAAGCGTATAAAACCATATTTTAATATAACCAGTAATGATTAGAGATTCTTAAATTACTTTGTGAAACTAAAAATAATGCTTCTATCAAGTTAATACAATCGTTAATAATAAAGATTTCTACGAAAACGAGGACAGAGAATTACTTAAAATATTTTTAAATGGTCATAAATTATCGTTTAAACTCGTAATATCTAAAATCTGTAGTATCAGTTAAATTTATATATCATTCTGATGTTATTCAATTATTTATTTAACAATATACTGGATACTATTACTCACTCTTGCTTATATTATAAAAATTAAACATCGCGTGTAAAAATAGTATTTGTTTGTATTATTGGATTGTTTTATGTTTATTTACATTATTGCATGTATTATTGTATTTATTATGTCAATGATTTCTATAAAATGCAAAAATGTACGAGCAAGTAGTGTTTATACAATCATAAACTATTAAAACTTCATTAAACAAGTATATTGTATTAAATAAGTATATATAGTATTGTATATTATCAAATATTATTCACTTATATTGTTCTTTGCGTGTATCTCTAAGAAAATAAATGACCGTACAGTATATATATATATATATATATATATAATGCAATTTCTGCAGAACGAAATACCATCTTAGAAAAAGTTATAATGATCAGTACAAAATTAATAGCCAATATCGAATTTATATTCTGTTATGATTTAGTATAACTGAGTAATAACAACGTAAACGTCAAAATAATTGAATGTGATATCGACATACGCCGTAGGTTTTTTTTTATAATGTGTACCTAGAAATTGAAGTTACGAAACGGTAATAATTAAGCAAACATGGCCAGATAGGCGACTATACTTTAAAAAGACAATTTTGGACATAGTAGATCAGTAGATCGTCGGTTACTCAGAAAAAAATTCCGTTCGCCGCTCAAAGGTGAGCCAACATTACGAATTATGTACGGGAATGGCTTGTTTGCAGAAGCGAGAAGAGTGAGTGCTATCGCATGATTTTCAAGGACTCGGAGGAGTGCCTCGTCGCACGGGAAAAGCGGTAGCAGCGGCA